CACAGGAGCCTTGGAGGTTTAAGGGGCCCAAAGTTAAGATGAGCAAAAAAACTGAAACTAAAGTTTGAATGCAGGAGACACTGGACAAAAAAGTGGCAGGGGGCCTCTAAGAGTATCCTGTTGCAACTAATAACATATTGGTCTCTAGATTAAAAATAAATCTGGAATCTTTGACCATTTTACATTGTTGATAATGTGACTTAAAATAATGTTAGCAGGTATTGTTATTGGTACCTGATATTGGTATTTTAGAATTTTTTAAAAGTTTAATAATGATTTAACACTATTTAATTTATGCAAATCTGACTCCTTTCACTTTCAGATGGTTAACCGGTCTGTTGATGAACCTAGTGACCTTTTCAAAGCCTTTCCTTACTATGACAGAGAATTGTAAGTATTTATTATTGATATTGTGACATAAAATTGTTGGTAAAAAATATAATCCAGGCACAGGAAGATTGGTCCAAAGGTTGATTAGACCTCTGGGCCCAAAAGTCTTTTCCAAAGCCCTGACATAAAACAAGAAGAAAAAAAAAATCTGAGAAATAGAAATGAATAATAATATATCACTTCTGCTATTTATGATAAATATGTGAAATGATAAAATTATAATAGTACTTTAACACTAAAACTAGTGAAGTAATTTTGCGAATACACGTTCAAGGTAATTAAGACCACATGAAAAGTGAAATCCTTTGCAATATAAGGAGTTGATTTTAGTATAATAGTTCCATTATAGGAAATAGTTTTAACTAACATGTCAATTATGGAAAAGGCTTTTCTTTAAATTAATCAAAAGAGATTAAAAATTTTGGGTGATTTTTATTTCGGGTCTTTATTTGAATTGCTGGTACTTTATCATGTTTACTTTTCTAAAAAGTAACCAAAAAAAAAAAAAAATTGAAGAAAGTGAAAGGAATTTCTTGGTTTAATAGTAGACTCTAATTGTTTAAAATTCTTTTTAAATTAAAAATTCATTTCTGAAATTGACTCAGGACTAATCAATAATTTTTTTTTAGAGTGCTGAATGGCTGTTCCCCTGGCAGTCCCAAAGACAAAAATATGAATCCAGACCAAACAAAGCAATCATCAGAATCTGCCCATCCTGCCGATGTCATCAACTCAAATATCACAACATCACAAGCATCAAATTTCCCAGATGATAATTTACACACTGCAACTCACAGCTGCATGGCAAACACCAGTGTTTCATGACAAAATAATTATTGTTAATCTCTGTAAATTGTAAATAATGACTTAAAATATTATCATTATCTTAAAAAAGTGATCACCTAGAATAAAATTTAATTTTGTCAAGCTCTTTAACCTCTGTATAATTTCAAAGGTGAATTTTCAAAGGTAAATAACATTTCTTATTTGAATTTCATATTCAAAGTCACAGCTTTGATTCATGCATAAGGTACTAAAATAATTAATCAAAAAGATCTGGAAAGTCCTTGTACATTAAATTTGGAAGTGATGGTATAGGTTGTGTGTCCAACATTACAAACAAAAGTTAAATTTGATAACCAAATGTGTTAAAATTGTGTGCCTTTTTTTTTGTTAGGTGTAATGATTCAGAAAGGTACCTTTTTATTTTTCTCTTTAAGTTAAAGTTAATCGTATCTAATTTCTTTGGAGTATTTATGTATTATGCCATATTATCTTCACTTTCTTTGCAATTACTTTCTTTGTGTTTGTTTTAAATGTGGTGAATTATAGATATGTTTTTTGTTGACTTTGTACCACGCTTCGAGCCTTTGGGGATGAAGCGTGTTTCTTAAATGAACTTTATTATTATTATTAATTACAGTCCAGTTTAATTTTTCTTTGTATTGTGTCCGCATAAAATGAACTAAGAAAATACATTTTTTTTAATACTTCCACACCTACAGAGTAAAGTTAAGACATCTCTAACTTTCTTTTTTAGCCACCGTACCGTACATGTAATACAATACAGTTTATAAGTTGGGTTTTTGAATAAGGGTAAATTCCTTCTCTCAGTCTGATCAATTCATGCATATTGTTTGATACCGGTACTGATAAAATGCCAGGCTATAAATTTGATCTGATATCACTGTTTTCATATTCCGGGTATGCTGTTATTGTATGAGCATCTACAGCCCTGTAGCTTTATGTAGGTCCTGTTCTTTCTATAACTGTATTCTCTAATGCTAAGGTACTGGTACCGTAAATATAAAAAAAAAAATTGAGTACCGGTATAAATAAACTATATTACAGAACAGGAGCTTTGGATCTACAGTCCAAAGGTACAAACCAAAACAATGCTAATAATTAATAGTAATAGCGTCATGACTCATATTGAATTTAATATAAACTACCGGTACTACTACCACTACTACTACTATCACCCATACCGACATAAGTTAAATTTAAATGCTCTAATTTTAATATGAAAGGGAAACAATCGTAAAATATGTCTAGATTGGTCTTGTACAAGGATTAAGTGGAGTTATCCTATTCAACCAACTTCCAATAATTTTGTTTCATTCCTTGCATTTGCATTCAAATATCACAACTGTCACCCTAGAACTTGAATGTGAAAATCTCACACCCTACTCTGGAAAATTTGTAAGGTGCAATATATAGCTGCTAGTCGCTAGTGATTCGCCTAGGCCTAGAAAAATGTATAAGAAGATTCAATAAGACAAGTCAGATAACTTTTTTTTTTTTATTGAACTCAAGTACCGCCAGGTAACTAAGCTGTTTTACATACAATAAACTATAAAGCTAAACAAAAGATTTTGTGGAAAGCTACTTTAAGAAAGTTAGAAAGGTCTACCCACTACCTGTATATTTATTAATTTGCAGGGTGCTTCTTGACACATTGAGTTATCGGTACCTGGTATTCATGTATAGAAAACGATTTTTCTTACTTAAAATGAAAATGAGTTCCGTAATACTAATAGTACTAGATCAGAGGTCCCAAAATAAAGAGTTAAAAATGTTTAATTTCATAATGTAATATTACACCTCATCTACTAGGGCAGTGGTCGGCAAACTCATTAGTCAAACGAGCCAAAAATCAGCAGCTGGACGATTAAAGAAATTTTGAAAGCTAAATTTCTTTTCAAGAACCATGTTTTTTCGAGTCAAACCCGATTTGTGGCCGAGCCGCACTCAGGTCGCTAACGAGCCGCGATTTGCCGACCACTGTATTAGGGGACCTGGTGCAAACCATTACCAAGTGTTTCTTCTTGTTTGCAGTTTAAAATGGAGGTCGGTTTTGATAAATAATGAAATTGAAAATTTAAAAACAGATATTCTCTACCACCAATGACCAGTATATTGCAGTGTACTGGTTATAATTACAAGTTGAAATATGGCACCTTGGGAAAACATGTGTGCAGCAAAAGCGGTGTGGCTTGAAAAAGTTGTGAAATCTCTCGACTAAATGCATGGTGGACTTGATTACCTGATGTAGTTTAATGTGGTCGATACATTTTTTGCTCTATTACTATTACCGGGTAGTTAAAATAAATCATTACATTATTACATACCGTTTAACTAACCGGTACCGTGCATTATGTTTTTGCATTCCACTTTTATTATTACAAAGACAGACACAAAAAAAGAAAAGGGTAGACAAATTATGTCTGAAGACTTCACGGACAGTGGAAGATAATAATTAAACTTTTAAACTTGTGAAAGAACACTCACCTAAGGGAAGTTCTTTAAAAGCATAAGTGTGGAGGTTCTGAGACTAAATACCTAATTAAAGAATACGAGGTATCATGGACGCCCACAGAAATCGATTAACTTTCTTAAGGGGGGGGGGGGGGCAATTTTTATTTTTTTGTAATGTTTTAATGTAGTTTTAATTTATTATAGCGTTTTTGTTTGGTGAACGAACGGACATCAGCTTAAGTTACTTTCTCTTTACTACTTTAATAAGGTTCTGAGACTAAATACCTAATTAAAGAATACGAGGTATCATGGACGCCCACAGAAATCGATTAACTTTCTTAAGGGGGGGGGGGGCAATTTTTATTTTTTTGTAATGTTTTAATGTAGTTTTAATTTACTATAGCGTATTTGTATGGTGAACGAACGGACATCAGCTTAAGTTACTTTCTCTTTACTACTTTAATACATTTTTTGTCTAAAAAGTTTTTGTCCAATCAATCCATGCGGGGTGTAATGATAATTTGTTAAGTCCCGTACCGGTATTAGGTACCGGGTACTAACTTTCATTTAGTGAGATGCATGGTGATAAATTATAAATAAAAGACTGGGTAAGACTTTTAAATTAATCAAAGAAGGAAATAAAATAACTATGAAGTTAAATGGCCAGATCTATTATTAACTATAAATACTTTAGCTATACTATTACTAATAATTTATAACAGTAACCAGCATCCTACATGCAATGCTTTATTCACTCCTAGTCCTAGACCACTTTTATTATTAGTATTAGTTTTTCAGTTGATTTCGATTGAAACATTTGAATATGCTGACGGACCAGATATCTTTCAAAATCTTTGAATGCTGTACCGTACTTTACTTGTTCAGAACAGGATTTTATATTTATTGGGTTAATTAAATATTCAAGTCTCATAATGATCTGAATTTATACAACTGTCAGCAGTTTAAAGCTGATAAACTAATTATTCAGTACAAGTTGATGTCTTTTATTTAACTGTTGCATACAGCTCTTCTTTACTTTTTAAACTCATTTCATCAAAATACAAATTTATGTAAGTTAACATTTTTAATTTGTTTAGTACTAGGTATTACTCTTATACTTTGGACTATCCAGTAACATCCAATCACATTTTTACCATGCATAGATATGGAATGAGAGAAACAATTTTGAATCCCTTTAACTTTAAGATATTTCATGTCTAGCAATACTAGCTAGCATATATGCAATGTTGGTATGTACTGGTACAACTGCATGGTCTTTCTTTGTGTTACAACTACCATAATAATAATAAAGAACAGGCTAATGAAAAACATTTTTAAAAAAACATAAAATAAAATGTTGACTGCAGTGAATGACAATGAAAACTTCTTTTTTCTTCCATTTATTTATGGCATTTATTATAAAATAAAAACAAAACAATATTCATTCAGTCTATAAAAAATAGCACTCATTCAAATTCAGCTAAATAATCCAATGCAAATGCATTACGGATAACGGCAAATATTTACTTACGGTATAAACATTTTGAAACAAATATCTTTAAAATGGCATTCTATTTGCTATAAGGACTGTCTCCAAAACAGCAGATTCTTGAAATATTTTAATGTAATAAGTCTTCCCCATCATATTGGAAGGCAAATATCATATCTTTAGTTTACAGTTACGGTACAGTATACAAATACAAAAAAAGGAAGGGGCTCATTAAAATACTAACGCATAATTTTTAAAAAAGTACAATGTTATTCCTCACCCATGCATTCAATGAAGATGATTAACTGTACAAATGAGATGATAATGGTTAAGAGAAAAGAAATGAAAATATTACACTGAATTAAATTCTTTCTTGAGACTCTAACAGCACCACACTGTTGCCACGGATAACCTGAAAAAATAAAATTTAAAAATACTAAAATAGAAAAAAAAGCACTAGAGATAATTGTTCATTTTGTTGATTAATCAATTTAATCATCAATCTGCCTTTTTTGTGCAACAAATCTCAACAACAAATATTCACTTCTCAAAAGCATACTTCAACCAAGGTCAAACGGGTGGTTCAAATAAATATGAATATAAAAAAATAATGTACCACGATAAAATAAGTTAATAAAATCATAATTATGGAACAAAAGGATTTTTGAAATCATTTTTTTCTTCCTGTCATTACTTTTTGGAGAATTAATGTTTCATTTTTTAACGTTAAAACAAAATTTGGGCGCTCTGATACTATAGGTGTTTGATTTTTGATGTCGTCTTCAATATTCAAATGATCTCTCTGCATCTTTTTTACTATCATAAGAGTGGAAAATCCTTATTGGTAGAGGTGGGTTGTTGGGAGACAGGAACTTAAATGACTACTTCGTCAAAGAGCTGTAAAACTGGCAAAGTCTTAGAGCAGTGCTGTCCAACCCGCTGCCTGTGGACAGGTTTTAAATGAGATAAAAATATTTGTGTACAAAAAAACATGTTAGATTGAGGTAGGAAAAAAAATCGACATTCAGTGATTCAGTATTGTTGGGATAGCACAGGAGAAGTGGTGGCATTTGATAAGACAGGAGTTAACAAGATGAGATATGTGGTACTACAGATGTAGAAAATGACTGGAAGAAAATGTGAATCAGTTGAAACGAAATAGGCAGTCTGTCCGGTGGGGGCAGTATGTCCATCCTGTATTTTTTTAGATGAACTTGGATTTATACCTGTGATCAGAATATGATCAATTCCATGTGTAGATAGCAATGTTTGTAGTTAATGCAATTCAGTCAAGGAAAATTCTGAGAGACAGAAATAGCGATTCTAGAATTTAGAAAGTATTTTTATTTCTAAAAAGATAAAAGTCAAAATGGCAAGTAAAATAAAAACAGAAAAATACTGAACTTTTAACACTTCATGAGAACTGGAATTTGTATTTTCACTGTTTAATGAAAAGCCAGAGTGTTTTAGATGCCAGACTTCTATTTCTGTTATGAAAAGGGCCAATCTACAGAGACACAAGTCAGTGCATGCAGATTTAGAGAAAGAATATACAATTGAAACAAAGGTAGGAGACGACAGAAGAAATGTTTTCGTCATTTTCTTTTAGCTCAAGCGACTGTGCTACTGAAGATCAACTAAGAAGCAAAGACCATAATACGATGGAGAGACTGACACTTTGTTTTTCAAGAATGTGCAGATTCATTGCTTGCTGAATTTAAAAACAAAGGAATAAACATATAAAAAAATTTAATCTTTAGCTTTCCCACCAGACTCTAGCAAGATGTCTTGAAAGTATGCCCTGGGATATATATTTGAGCAGCTGCTTCATGATTTGAAAAATGCTACCTGTCCTGTGATATCAGTAATATCATTGACATAGTCCAACCTTGGGTTAGACTTGACATGGATTAAAAATAAAGAAGAATTATTGGCACTACTTCAGGAAAAAATACAACCCGAATGAAGGATGTATATAAAAAAATGAGGCACTGAAGGCATTTCTATTAAAGAACAGGATTGATTTGAAGAAGCTTTTGTGCTCCAGCAAAATGGGAAGGAGAGTTGGCCTGATTGGTTTGCTGATGGCTGATGTTTTTCCAGACACTCAAGCGTTTCATTGTATAATTCACCAGCAATTGCTTTTACTCAAAGCTGAAGCACTGAAAAATGTTAAGGATGGCATAGTGAAAATGTATTTTCATTCAAGCTAATCTATTTAAACCACAGGCAGTTTAAGTTGAAGACTTTGTTGGAAGAATATGAACGAAATTTTGGGGATTCTCTTCTACATACTGATGTTTGTTGACTGAGCAAAGGGAAAATGCTGGCAAGATTCTGGGATCTAATTTGAAGAAGTGAAGCTGTTTCTCAGATCCAAGGCAAAGGACACTTTGTTAAATTACATTTACATTGAGACGTTCACAGATCACCTTAAAAAATGTAATCTAAATATACAAAGGCTTTTTCAAATCTTACCAATGCTGATGAAAGAAAGAATTGTTTTAGAATCAAGCTGGACTTCATTACTCAACTGAATCAGTCAAATTTTACTCAGTTCTTGCATGGGCTACACAACAACTTCCAGAGCTGGTCTATTGTTAAAAAAGCTTAAGTTAGATTTCACAGATCATTTTAAAGATATTCTTAGCCTTAGTCCTGTTTTGATTTTACGTTGAAAATCCCTTTACAAGTGATATCTCAATAGTAGCCATAAAGATGACATTATTAGGGGCAGATGGAGGTCAGTGAAGCTTAAAATCATCGAGATTCTGCATAATATGTCTCTGTGAAAAATATAACAATGTCTAGCCAATTGAATTCTGGATGACCTAGGCTTCTTCACAAATGTTGTAAAAAGATAGACGATGTTTGGAAGCACATACCACTGTGAAACTGGATTCTCTGCAATGACCAACATCACATACAAAATTGGCCCTCTGTATCAAGAAAAAAAAATTTGCCCCAGGAGTCAAAAAGGTTTGACAGCACTGTCTTAGAAAACAATATAAAAATCAATAGGTGACCATGCGAAAATGATGTATACTTATTTAAATATAAATGAAGATGTGTGATTTAGCTAGCTGCCACTGGTAGTCATGTTAGGTGTGTTTTATATTAATCCTGCCCGAAAAAATAAATTCTTCAGTAAGAAGGATCACGCTTTTTATATAACTTTATTTTATGCCTATAGTCTATGGAGATCTCTGATGAATTTTTGATTTTTACTTTGCAGGCTTATTTACCCTGGTTCGCCAACCCCTGAGCTATGAAAATGGAAGTCAGCTTGTCTTGGTAGGGATCAGAGGCAATCTAGACCCACAAGGTTAAAATGTTTAGCCAAAAGAATAGTGCTCGCACATGTCACTTCACACAGTTATTATAGTACACTTTTCACAGTACCGGTAACACAATTAATTGGGAAATAAAAATATTAATAACCTGCAAGTTATAATTACAACAGGCATTTCAAAGAAAAATACAATTAATCGATGCTACCCAAACAGAAACTAATTTGTTATAAATTTAAAATTAGCCACAAGGAGGCACTGAATAATCTATTTCTAAACAAGTAGAAGAAAAAATGCATCTATTTACCACCATGCCAATATTCCTTTTTTCTCCAGATTTTGTCTCCTCAATAGCATCATCAACAACAAGATTCATAAAAGGATCAAACCCTCTGAGAGTACCAGTTACCTTGCGGTTGCCGTTCAGCTTCACTATGAAAACATACATTCAGGAAGCCAACATTACACTTTTCAAATTAAATATACAATAAACAAAATTTAAACTTTTAAAATTGCAGCCTTTATTGACATAGTCACACCGAAAATTCCCATAACGCATATATTGAAAATGGTACTAATTTTTTTTAAAAATTACTAACAAAAATGCAAATTTAAAATGAAGCTCTACTTAAATGGTGTGGAAGCATGGTATATAAATATATATAAAACAGTAGGCATATGGCTATATATAAAATTAAATAAATTGGATTAAAATTACTTTTTAAAAATCTAAATTTAATAAAAGTGAACAATGTAAAGTAAATACCAAATTGTTATTTAAAAAAAAAAGAATTGGTCTAATACAAGATTTACTCATTTACATTTTTTAAAGCCTGCTCCATGATAATCATTCTTAGAGGATTAATAAATTAATCAATGCAACTTATGCAAGAAGCCTTATTAACATTTTAAAACTATTATTATCAGGGTACTCAATTGGCTATTTAAACATTGAAGAAGGTCTATAAGCTACATGACATAACAGATATACTTACAAGTTAAAACCTTTTCCATATACCTAACGAAGAAAAAATATGTGAAATATATATTAAATCTATGATAATGCTGAATAAACAGTCATGACAACAACAACAAAATAGTTTTAGTTTCATTTGCCATCAGATTACTAAAAACGTCCTCATGATAACTTTGACAAAATAAAACTTTTAAAAAAGCAATAAAGCTGTCTGACAGATAATGGATTACAATTTTTGTCTCTGAAAATCATAATTCTCCAAAGCTGCCTCAATAATGTATGTCTGGCCTTACAGTCACAGGGGGAGACTCCACCCTGCAACCAAGATTACAGACAATGTAAAAACTCTGGTTTCTATGTCAAAGTAGTTATAAGTCAGCAAGTGATCATCATTTGGCAAATAGCTTTTCATATAATTTATTATAAATAGGGTCTTCTATAAATTAAGAAAAATACTGAACTGTGACTGAAATAATTATTTAGGCTACTCTGGTATCTGAGAGATTTTAATAAAGACTAGTCAAAAAGTGTGGTATGATTTAATAATTAGGCTATGGTAAAGGCATATATCTTCAGTCTACAGAAATAAATTTAGTAACAGTAATAATGCTCATTTGACATACTAACAACAGAAGCCTTGCCTACATTGTAAAAAAAGCTAATGCATGGCTCTGGGACAGAAAACAATCATCAATGGAATCAAATTAACTTTTTTTAAATGTTAGCCCTTTGTTCTAAAGCCTACTAAATAATTTAAGGACATAAAAATAGATTTTCAGAATTTTTCTTTACATGCATTTAATAATAAATTTTTGTCCGTGTCTACTTGTCCGGCGACGGGACAAATATTGAGATATACGTCTGTCTGGCATGTCCCGTGATTGCCGGACGAAAAGTGGAAGATAGTCCGGCGGCAGACATGTCATTATCAGAGTCATGTGACCGCCGGACAACTAGCAGGGGTTATTATTCCGGAAGGTCATGTAGTGGTCGCCGGCAAAATAGTTGCAATGCATATGATATTCCAATATTGTGTATCGGTACATATATTAGTAAACCGATCCCTAGATAATTAAATACAGAACATGTTAATTAGAGACCGACCGAATTTCGGCTTCGGTGCCGAAAGTGGCCATTTTATCACTTTCGAAACTGAAACGTTGCTCAATTTCGGTTTCGGCCGAAAGAGAAAAGTTAACATTCCGTTTTTCTTCGGTTTCGGCCGAAATTGACTTAGACTTTCGGCCATCTGCCGAAAGTAACTCGGGTTTTCGGTCATTAACACTCAGCGAAAGCGATATTTAACACCAAACTAAGCGACATTTAAGAACAAACTAAACGATCTTTAATAACAAACTAAACGATTTTTAATGCCAATCTTTAAGAACAAAACAAATGATCTTTAATAGTAAACTAAATGATTTATTAGAATAAACTAAGCGATCTTTAACAGAAAACTAAATGTTCTTTAGGAACTAACTAAAAGATCTTTAAGAACAACCTAATCGATCTTAAGGAACAAAATCTATTATCTTTAACAACAAACTAAGCGATCTTTAAGAACAAATAAAGCGATCATTAACAAAAACTGGACGATCTTTAACAACAAACTAAGCGATCTTTAAGAACAAACTAAACGATCTTTAACAACAAACTAAACGATCTTTAAAAACAAATTAATTGATCTTTTAGAACCACAATTTTTAGAGACCCGGTTTAAAAAAATAATATTTTGCTTTAATTCCCTCCCCCCCACCCCAATTTTTGCCAAACTTTCACCTACCATACTAATTTTAAAAATTGTAAAGCAATTTAAATTACTTTTATATTAAAATGGTAAAATCCAAAGTCAGAATTAAGACTAGTCTGTGAGATTCGACTGAAACCGTCGCGGAAAGTCACTTATAGATGTGAGAATGGGGGAAACGGGCCGGCACATTTACACTAAACTTTTCTGTCATGTAGCGGGCCGCAGAATATCGTCTTGCGGGTCACAAATGGCTTGCGGGCCGCGAGTTTGAGACCCCTATATTATATGTTTATTTATTAATATTCACGATTATTTCATTTTTATAAAAAGAATGTAAATATTTGTACTTTCCCCACATCATTTTCGATGTATGCAGAATGTATGCGGGAACGAATTTCAAAATATCTTAATATTTCATTTTCGGCTAAAATTCATTTTTAACTTTCTGCCTTTCTTCGGCTTCGGCCGAAAGTCATTTTAAACTTTCGGCCTATTTTCGGCTTCGGCCGAAATCAGAAAATCACTTTCGGTCGGTCTCTAATGTTTATATATTCATATGCTCTGTGATAAATGAAGTGTTTGACTTTGAATATTAAACTAGTCGGCCTATATACTAACTAAAAGTACTATTACTAGTCTATTTGATTCCGACTCTTCAAAGAAAAAAGTCTCTTATCTTGGTTAAACAACTTGTAAAGCTCTACCGCCTTGAAACTTAAATTTAAAATATGAACCAAATAAAATAAGACCAGTGGACTTCAATAGATCTATGTCAATAAAGTTGTATTTCAGGATTTAGTATTGCATGAGAAGTAGGCTAGGCTACCACTATATTGGCCACGGTCACGAGACAAGGCTGACAGACAAATATCTCGCTCCACATTGTTACGGCGGTCATGTGCTTGGTTGCCGGACAAATATCTCGATAAACCATTCTTCCGGCGGTCATATGATTTGGTCGCCGGACGTATACCTCGATAAAGAATTCATCTGGTTGCCAGGCGTTTAGACACTTCATAAATTTTTTTATTGTAGATTGACAAGATCCTATTCTACCACCATACAAGATTTAAATATGATAAGAGAAGAGTAAAGATTAACAAATCAACAGACTTAAGGAGTAATTACAGTAGTCCTACGATTTGGTTTTTCTGAGGTGAGCTTTCATTTGTTCAGTTAGATAAATTAGGGGGCGTCCATTAATTACATCAAAAAAATAGGGGGAGGGGGGTTGGAAATGTTAGACAGTTGTTGACAAGGGGGAGGGGGGGGGTTTAGATTTGTTGTTTTTTCCTACTAAAATTTTAGTTGTTAATCTTAAAAATTGACAGGTTCTTACATTATTTTAAAAAATTTAATGAGTGTAAATAGTCATATCTTTATGTTTTTAACACTATAAGAGTTATTTAATATGTGTCTGTATGTGCACTGCAGATGGCTGGTCAGAATGTTAGCACACTTTGTTAGTGCAAGACAAAAGTTGGGATCTCTTCACCTGTCATTTTTCTCTTAATCCGCTCCCTAGAATGATTAACACATCATTGTAAACGGTGTTTAATTTTTAAAAAACACCAACTCATCGGTGTTCAATAACAACTATACCAACTCAAAGACGGAGAAAGTTTATGGCAAATAATGCTCACACAGACAATGCTTCGATTTTAAGTGCTGAATGTTACGCAAGGATGATGTTGACTTGTCTGGTATATCAGTTCCGCAAGATGAAAATGATAAATCAGCTACTATAGAGTATTATACACTATGCCCATCAGGGGCGTCATTTCAGGTTTATGTTTTTCAGGGGGGGGGGGGGGGGGGGGGGGGGGTAAAACCAAAACTTGGCCGGCTTGTTGTTACTGAAGGCGCCACAGTATTTAGCAATTTAAATAAAAACAGTGAAATCGAAGGGGGTTGGGGACAAATGACCCCATGCCCTACCCAAAATGATGTCCCTGATGCCCATTGGCATTGATCCATTGTTACAATAGAGAAACACCTGGCTACTCCATAGGAAAATAATAGCAGCTAGAATTAGAAACTGTACAATTGTCAGCTATGCTATACTGAAAATAATCATATTTATAGGCTACTTCCACAAACAATTATATGTAGTCTTTAACAAACTTCTAATTGATTCTGCATTATCCATTATAAAATTTAAGTGTAAACACTTTTTAAATTGTTGATTAACAAGTAACAAGCTAAAGTTAAAGATGTAATAAAATGTTTTTCTACAATTTTGTGTTCTTAAAAATACATGAGCACAAAATTAAACTTATTTATAAATTTATTGATATTATAATTCAGTGATTCATTGGAGGCGGGGGGGGGGTATAAAATGTTGACATAATTAAATTGAGGGGGTCATTGATTAAGTCATTAAGTTGTTGACAGGGGATCCAGCCTTCTGACAGACTGATTTGACAACATGTTGGTGGTGATGTGGGAGGGGGGTGTTGAGGGAGGGGGGGGCTTTCAGAAAAATTGTTGATGTAATTAATGGATGACCTCTTAATAAAAGCTCTAAACAAAACAGGATTGATGTTTATCTCTACACTCAAGGATGGGAATTGTAGCTAAGACAATGCTTTTTCAATTGTGAAAATAAACCATTTCAGCATTCACATAAATTTTTCAGATGGCCGCCACCAGATATCAGAAGCGAGAGGTTGGGATTAAAAAAAAAAATTCTCATTTGCGGTAGTTTATTTTAGTTAAAATGAAGAATTAAGTTTAAAAAACATATAGCCCATTTAATTATCTTTCATTCGATTCCAACTTTTATCTTACAAACCCAACAATAATATTTTAAACATTTTTTAATCCCAACCTCTCACTTCTGGTAGCCGGGTCAAAATAGTCACTTCGTTCAAAAATGAATATTTGCTTTTATTCTTAAAGTAAAAATCTTATTTTAACAAACTATATTAGAACATTTGAAGTGTATTTTCTTACTTTTTTAATTCGGGTGGATGTGCTTTGCTCATTTTTGATACAGAGTGATATAAAATAACCGGTAAAAATATTAAGCGTCTTGAAAATGTAAACAAAAGGTTTAGGCAGGAAGCGGATATCCCTTCACAAAGAAACGGTTACAATTGCTATTCACAGATAACCCGTCCTTGGAATTTCCCCGTGCTAAATTTACATAGCTCCAAACAGATTTCGGAGGGAAAAAAATACATAACTAGCTATCTCAATTTTATTTCAAAGACATAAGATGGATATATTAATCTACAGACAACTAGAAAAAATTAAATGAAGAGCAATTTTATTAAGTTTCTTTAAAAAAGTGTCC